TTCCTCATTTTAATTACTACACTTTTGTTACCTAGATTGATCTTAAAACAACACGGTCTCTGATCTACAACTATAATGAAAAGCAAATTTATTGTACAGATGCATGCATCCAAAATTTAAATTGATGTATCTTGGCATTTGTACAACTAATTTTATAAGTCTTGACATTCAATAACTCCATAAAAATACAACTTATTCCATTACTGTTTTTAGTTAAGTTGGAAATCCATCCATCAATATTGCATGTCATAAATCTAACATTTTCTTTTCTAAAATCAAACTAGTGAGAATGCGATGCACGAGAATTTCGTAATGTAAAATATTATGCAAAATTTTATTTTAACAATGTATTAGCCTGTTGATCCGTCTATATTAATATAAATAACATTTAAACATATATATTTATTTTTTAATACAAAAAAAAAATTAGAATTTTACATATTTTGGTTCTTCATAATACTCAAATATTACTTTATTCAAAAATTTATTGGCGTATAATGTCAATATTATTTATAACATTTATAGAAGTAATATTTATTTTTTATATAATGGTAAATATTTAATGTATATTAATATTATTTATTGATGTGATTAATTTAAAAATATATAAGTAAATTAATCTAATGTTTGTTAGAAATGTGATAGATCTCGATATTTTAGGTACAAATATATGATATGGATATCTTTAGACACTACAAAAAAATTGTTATATTCCAACGGAAAATCCTATGGTAATATATTCCAATGAAAATTCCAACGGATATTCCAGTTGTATAGCTTCCGTTGGAATGGTTCCAACGGAAATATTTCGTTGGAATGTGTTTTTCATTGGAATTTTAGATGGAATTTGTTGATTCCAACGGTTATATTTTCAACGGCTTTTTACCGTAGGAATTTCCATTGGAATATGCAATTTCCGTTGGAATTTTTATTTCCACCCCTGTTGGAAAATCCACCGTTGGAATCGTCAAAATCCAACGGGAATTCCAATGGAAAACTCATTCCAACGGAATATTTTTGTTGGAATTTCCGTGGAATCCATTGAAAAA